ACTTTTTGATATCAAATTGTAAAGATTAATATTTTATCATATCATCTATCAAAGTAAAACGTGCAGAATTTGATATTCATGACTGTTGTATGTTTGGAAATCCATACATCTCATTGCAATCAATGTTGTTTAAATAACTCCCTCAACATAGAACCACTGTAAAATGATTTTCAGATATTGTGTAACATATCATACTACATGTTGATATTCAATAGTTATAAATATTCTATAACTTAATGATCAATAATCTATTAAGCAAATAATAAAGCTCTTTCTGTTGCATTGTAAATTACAGAATCTGATGATAAACATGTAGATAATATCAGAGATGGTTTGTGAAAAAAAGGTGAAATTGTTAAATTTTTTTATTGTTATATCAAAAGTTAACATGGTACAAGGTTAAGTTAGCATGTATTGACTTGTTTCAGCCCAATTAAGTTTCTACAAATGATTGATGATAGTAACTAGTGTTTTATTTTTCAGCAAGCAACTGATGACAATACACCATATAACTAATATAAGAGTAGACTACATTTTAATTGTGTACATTAACTTTTGGTAATGATATACATTGGAAACTTATGTCCATGATATTTGTAACAAATTCATTTGTCATTCTAAGAGAATTAGACAAGTCTGTTTCCATGAAGCAATTCATCTGGGTCTAAATGTTTATACCAGATTCTGTCCACTTGCCCATGGGTTTTTTGTTGCAGTTTGAATGGAAAGTCCAGCAACTAGAGACATTACAACTTGCCCTTCTACATCATCTTGTTATGGCATTACCATGATTAAAATGTACTTGTGTACAGACAGAGTGTTGTCCTTGTCAGTGTTCACTGCAACAACCATTACCCATAGGCTGACAGATGGAAATGTTACAGGCAAATATTCATATAAGACTACATTGACTTCATTATAAGGATGACATTCGCACGCGCATCAATTTCTGTCCGTTTTCCAGAAAAGAGCGACCATACTGTAACGTTAAACTATCACGAAAGTTCATCTGTAACGTTAAGCCTGCAAAATGACCAAATATGGTGTAAATCCTAATTTAGGGTTATGAAACCCTAATTTAGGGTTAGCTAACCCTAATTTAGGGTTAAGAAACCCTAATTGTATCTTGTACCAAGGTCTACTGTTGTTGGCTGGAGTTTGGCGAGGTCGGCTACTTTTAGGCTACATCAGCCAACACAAATGTTGCACAATGCTTAAAACATTCGGGTGTGGACGGGAGGTTTGACCGTGGTTGGCTTTTCTTCGGGAATAGGTTAGTGGTGTTCAGGGCATCTTCGGGGGTAAAGTTTGACTGAAATTTAACTTAAATTCGATTCAATGCGTATAGAAAGGTACGCGTGGCATAAATTCGGTCAGGCTTTGTTTGGAATGAATCATTACTTTAGACACTGTACGAACTGACACCGAGCGAACACGCCCCGAACACAGTTCACCTAACCTAACCTTCAATTCAGCCTTAGGCAACCAACTTACCAAGTGTACAGGATGGCCTACCACGGTATGTCTGGTCGTGACGAAAAAGATCAAAAAGATTGAGGATTCAAAATGGCGGAAACAGGAAAAGTCCAATTTTTGTGGCGGGTGCTCCTGTGTCTGCTCACTCTGACTCTTCTGGTTCTGTGCGTGAACTTCGCCGGACCGATGTGGGATCAGCTGGACATGACGACATCTAAATATCTTCAGAAGCAACGACAAAATTCAAGGTACTGCTGATGTTGATTCGCTCGTTCGTTCGTTCTTGATGTTTATACAGACAATTGTCTGACTTTTGTAAGGACTCGAATAAGTCGCGGTGGCATTCGTTTTGACGTAGTATTTTTAATTGCACAAACGATCCTCGACAAGGATTTACAACAATGTTTTGCATCACGAGGCAGCCGACTAGTGTACGACATATACCGGACTATTCCAACATTGTTCTCAATTTGCTCAATTTTCAGTTATTCTCAATACCGTGCTACCGGACCCTTTCTAAAACAATTAAGTATTAGAATGAAAGAACGACCAGGCACGGAGAAGCAATCCCAACTAAATCTTGTTCATTAATTTTGGCTCCAGTGACGCAGAGTTCGGACGACATGACCGACTTCTGACAGCGGCAGAGAACGTGACATCTCTCCCGTCGGAACTCAGGACAATCCTGTCGTCCAGGGACTCTTGTACGAAGCCTGTTACCAACTTTGTTTTTATCAAGGTACGTACGGTCTACGTAGGGGCCATTTTACACAATGGCATGCAAATGTTAAGGGAAGCCAGTGCAATTCCAGGGTGACGAAACAAAACAAAACGTATTCTGGACGAGAATTGATCTGTCAGTTATTGACATTTACTGCTATTTCTTAGCACATTGTCGTCATCATTTCGTATCATTGAAAGCATTTGAAATAGTCCCAAAACAAGATAACTGAGGAGTCCCTTTTTTAATCGCCAAAATAGCTTAAACCGGCCTACGGTACAAAACAATCAATAAACATCGCATTATATACTGCCTCATCACAGTTATCGGTATCTACGGGGAAGGATTGAAACCTTTAAACATTAAAGCAATGACCAGAAAATTGACTTTGAAAATTCATTTGTGCTGTCCGTTTGACCTGAATTTGCATAGGATATCTAAAAGGCATATCTGACGTATGGCTAATGATAAAATATACTAGTTGTATTACTGGAGTCTTGCCTGCCGTACAGAGACTCTTGCACAAACCCTGTTAATGATTTTGTACAAAAATTGTAATATTTTATTCAAAGGAATATTAAATGTCATTCTAATTTTAGTTCCAGTTTTCATCACATTTGTGCAATTATCTCACGTTTCTGACATACTAGTATTTGGTTGGTGCTAAAACAGCCCACACGAGGCACACTCAGTTTGTGGCACCACCACAAAATATCAGAAAGTAAACAAACGTGACTGACGGCTGTGTTTCCAGCAAGGCGTCATATTTTGGCATCTACGCTACCTGAAAGACATTTGTTTGCAATGGAGTAGAGTTGATTCAGCTTACTACAGTTTACAAAGATATGACAAGAAAATGTCAAATATTATCTTGCTAATGTTACACAATGCATCTTTAGACACATGGTTTGGGCGTTGTCAAAATTACATGCGTGGAAGTAATTTAGGTCAAAGCACATGATTATTATCTATCTATCATGTTCACACTCAACGACAATTCGTTAGCTGCGGGCATTTTCTCGACACCATAATCTGATGATACAAGTTCACAAAAATCCTTTTTTGGGGGTTCGAAACAATCCAAGGACGTTCTACAAGAGCCTTCTGTAGAACGTTCTTGATTTTGAATAATCTACGCTTTAGGCCACAGGCTATACATAACCCCGTGATTTTCTGAAGCAGTAGAACTGGTTTTGCTTTAGTAAAGTAAATACCTGTTGCACGTTACCGTATATCTATAAGTGTCATGTGGTATCTACAGCATTAAAGTGACATAATGTAAACTTAGGACGACACGAAAAGTAAACTTTCTGGTCATTTCTTTACAAAGCCAGTTGAATCAACCCTACTAAATCGCTACTAAGTTTCATTCGGGAAGTGGAAGTTCCAAAATATGTCTTACAAGTATGTTTAAAAGCTGGAAACACAGCTGTCAGCCATGTTTGTTTATATCGGTTTCTCTTTTTAGCGAATGCCCACTCAGGGGCCGTCCTCGTCCTCGTGGGAGCACACTCTGGACATGACCACACAAGAAATTTAAGATTCGTGCGACGAGGACGACCCCAGAGTGGGCATTCGCTAAAAAGAGAAACCCGTTTACATTCTGTCATTTTGTAGTCCTGCCACAAAATGAGTGCCTTGTGTGTGCTGTTTTAGCCCCAACCATACATGCCAGAAATGTGAGATAATTGCACAAATATGTCGAAAGTGGAAGTAAATGAGAATCATACAAAGATTTTTCAGTTCATGCTGAGGTCATTTCCAAACCTGGGCCCGACCGCGGTATAATAAAAATCAACCGGCTTCTGAGGAATATATACATTGTCAAATAGTAACGTTACTCATGATAACTTTTTTTGCGTGTTCTGTTGTCCTTTGTATAGTACTTTTCGGTCCCGAAAGCTGGCCAGCCGGGCCCCGGTTTGGAAATGTGACCTCAGTATAAGATATGTCAAGCCGCTGTTGTCTGTTTGTACCTTGTAGGTCCACAAGACTGGTTCAGCCAGCACTGCTGTCATCTTGATAAGATTTGCCTACAATCATCACATGATCATGTGCTATGGAAATAGGGGAATGAGACTCACTTTTCCCAGGTGAAAGATTTTTTGAATAGTCCACAACTAGGTTACAGCACCACGTCCCTCTGCCAAATCTGCACTAACAAAATGCCATTCAATTTGGATCATCAGTGAAATTTGTCAAGCCACTTGAAATCTGCTGTCTCTTACAAATATAACGTTACAGATATAGAAAGCATAAAGGAGCATTCTTTTATTATATATTTCGAATGAGGTGCGAAATGTTACGACTTCACTTTACTTCATGAAAATGTAGGTATTGTTTTTGGTATGTCTGTTTGTGTATGTCTGTATGTGTTTCCGCATAGCCCTTAGGTTACGTTGTGATTAATATGGCTGGGTTGATTTTGTACCAGTGAGAAATTTATCAATTAATTGTACATCTTGTCACGCTATCTGCTTTTACATATCTTTTTCATTACATGACTTCCTTGAGACCCAACAGCACCAGGTGTTTTCATTACATGTTCTCATTGTCATTGACAACTTGCATAATAAAGAAGGGGATCGCAAAAGGAGATTAAATAGGGGTTATGTTGCATAAGACTTGGCAAATGGAACCCCTTTTCATGACACAAGTTAGTTATCTAAATATTTGATGGTGGTCTGTGATCTCCGAATTCTTGTTAGAGGAAGAAAGTTGGAAATCGTAATGTCGTTTGAAATCAAACTGACAAAGAATGACTGAATGAATTGATATTGAAAAATAAAATTGCTGGTCTTCTCCATTGATAGGACGGAGATATACAAGTCCAGCTGCGCTCGTTGGAAAGAGTTTGGGGATCGCTTCAATTTCATCGTACAGCACACCGTCTTCAACAAGACAGCGATGGACCGGATCATGAGACCGGGCACCAAGTACATCGGCATCATGCGCGAACCTCTCAGCCATTTCCGTTCTCAGTTCTTCTTCTTTAAAGATCCCCGTCGCTACGGGTTAAGGAAAAGTCGGAATCCGCTGGGTGCCTTTCTGGATAACCCGGAGCGTTATGAGCTGAAAGTAACGAAAAATCTAACGAGGAGTCGGGAAAGAAACAAGCAAGCTTTTGTCATGGGTTTCCCCCCAGATCTCCTCGGTACACAGGACACTAGGCTCATGGATAATGTAATCAAGCAGCTCGACCAATGGTACACCTTTGTCATCATCAACGAGTACTACGACGAGTCTCTTGTCATGTTGAGGCGGAAGTTGTGTTGGGGTTTGTTTGACATACTACACTCCACTAAACATGTCAACAAGCAACACAATCGAAAGAAATACGTCTCCCTCACGAATAAACAGTTGCAGAATCATAAAAGAATCAACACCATAGACTTCAGAATGTACGACTTCTTCAACAAGACATTCTGGAGGAGCGTGGAGGAGGAAACGCGAAAGGGATTCTGGGAGGAAGTGACGTACTTTAAAGACGTAGTGAAAAGAGTCAACACTTACTGCTCCAAACGTAAGAAAGAGAAACATTTACAAATTCCTACCAGTAAATGGAATAAGCCATTCTCTGTCAATGGAAACTTTTGTAAAGGTTTGAATCGGGATCCAAAAGTATGGGGCAGGAAATTGTTTCATCAGATGGTTCACAGTGTTAAGAAGAAAAAGAAGAGAAAACATCTATAAATGTTCAATAAATGGATGTTAGCAAATGTACCTGAGAGCTAAAATTCCCTTTTAGACGTACCTTCGTCGAGACGTTTAATATGTATTAGGTTTTTCCCAAAATATATATATGGGTTGGCGATTTTCGAACCGGTTATAACTTTGGGTGTGGTGCATTTATCTTGAATTCATATTTGGTAGGTAGATTGGGATCGCGGTTGAGTTTATATGTTTATGTTTATGTTTATTGGTATCTCCATTAGTAAAAAAGAACAACAGTTCTTTACTATTCTTCATGGATTCCTTTACACATTAAAATAACACCCTAATAACTACCATATACAAATCCACTGTCATAACTAATAAGTACAATATTAAAAACATTACAAAATAACAACTAGACAATATTTACTCTATAACTACAATATGTACACCACTAGCAACAACCCAATTTCTACTGATTGCTGAACCTGTCACGAGTCGCTCCAGGTTACGTAGTTTACAGAACTATAAAGAAAATTAAAATAATTTAAATGTAGTGGGAGGTCAGAGGTACACATCACCACCAAGTGTCCATGCGTGTGTTCTTGTTCTTTTTACTCCCTAGCCTGATGTGTTTTTTAAATGAGCGTGAGTTTCCGGATGTAATGTGTAATGGCAGGGTGCTGTATGCTTTAGTGCTTCAATACAGAAAAGTTCTGGTTTTAGCTTTGGTTTTGGGTTTGGCTAGAGTGAACCCTCCTCTTTGGGACAGTCTTGTGTTGTATGTGTGAGTGGATTCTATTGTCTGTAATAAGGCCACACCAATTTAATTTGTTGGTTCTCGGATTTGCCTCTTCGTTTTTTTCTGATTTGCAAAAAAAAAATTGATTCTGGTCCTGAATCAACTGAAAAATGCTCATGTTTTGCCCCCCAACAGTTGAGGAAAGTCCTTTTCTTCCTAGTTGTTACAGTTTTCCCATCTATCATTGCAGTGGTTTGATTAAAAGTTCACAATTCAATGTTTAAATTTTAACCCAGCCTTTTGTGTTTGTGTCTAGTCGAGTGGCTAGTCGAGTGGCTAACTTTGTGGTGCAGATGACAGTAATGGGGAGCAGTAGTCGAGATGTGATAAAACAAGGGTTTGTAATACTGTCCTTAAGGCATTTTGGTGAAGTAGCTCTTCTTCTTATTTTTGCGACGATGCCTGCTATTTCTGATTTTGTTTAGACAACGTCAAATAATATGGGTAATCTAGCGACTTTGTACGGTATTGCAGGGGTGTAAAAGGCATGATATCTCGATGCGTATCGGCACCGGCATTAGTTTAGAGTACCCAGAGGAATTCATACCATGGAGGTATAATACACTAGTATAGCCTTATTTATCTTACATTAAAACCTAATCCTCCATTGACATCGGCTACCGCGGACCAATTATGTGGTACCAGTCACACGTACAATCCCAACTGTGAAATCTTTAAACAGTGCTTGTCAAGAGAAACAACATGAACGGGCACCAACCACTGGCCCACCAAATTTCATGAGATGCGTTTCAGTAATACAATGTACTTCCGCCAGGACTCCACTACATGTAATCTGCGCTTTGTTACATTTTGTCTGACCCTTATCTTCTCCCTCATGATCTCAACAAAAAGTGTCCAACTTGAGCTTTTCATAAATAGATAAAGAGTTCAAGCAAAGAAACCAAATCCTTCTCCTTATGGAAGCTTTTCCAGCGTTGACTTTCCTACAATATTGATTTTGGCAGCTGTTTAGCCTACTTAGCGAGACTCTACTGTACTCGACTATACTTGCGCCATTTTGTTCATCAAGTTAGTTGGGAGCAAAGTCCCTTTTGAACACTTTACTTAGCCTTTAAACAAGCTTTGGTTGCGAGCATAGGGATTACGGTTAGTTAATGCTGGTACAAGTGTACATATATGTCAGTTTTGCTACGGTGCTTTATATAAGTGGTAATGTCGCTAATCAACCTCCTTGTTTCAAGTACCAAAACACGATTTGTATATATACATGTACGCGTCTAACTTACAACTGGTACCCAGACGAATGCTATTTACTCTATTCAAGGACATCACAAAGAAATGTCGTTGCTCTATCATGTTATTAAAGCATTTCCGTGGGAGTTGGGGATTATACTTCACTAAAGGTTAATCGTTTCCACAAACCACATCTGTAATCTCGGCCGGGTGTGAGAGGTGGTTATCGACCCCGTGTTGAGGCAGGCACCGCATGTTTCCCCAGGAGTCTATCGATCTTCTGTCTGTTAGCATTGATATTGCTGTTTTGTCTGACGTTGATGTTTTTCCTCATGATACATTTCGTTAAAAAAAACCTTGGCAATCAGTACGTAAAAAGGACACCAATACAAAAACACTTAACCAAGACTTCAAAATCAACGATCCCATAGTGAAACATGGATGATTCTCCTGACCCAGACTTGTTTAAACCCCGACTTGAAGTGACGTGCGTGATCAGTTCGCCAGAGGTCAAGCCGACGTCGTGAAGTGCACAACAACCAAACTCAAACAGGAGAGCCAACTGTGTAAATCTCCTTGGCCTGACGCTGAGAAACGCACGATGTGACATCTCAACATCAACCCGGATGTTCCACGGCTCACGTTACTGCCAAGGTGCGCGTCAGTAGTCACACTTTGGGGAATAGGATTAATGGAGGGCAGCTGACTTCAAACACCTCAGGTATTTGACTGCTCGAGTACAAATGTATGTTTAACACGACTACTTTGACCGCAAAGTGCGAAACAACTTGTACGGCAAACTTCCTAACGTGCAGCCCAGCTTCCGACAAGTGCCAAGATAGTTAATATACCATTGGGCGCTATACCGAAAAAGGGTGCGTCTAGATTGCGGATTGGAGGATGACTTACGTCTTTAGTAAAAAAAGATATGAGAAGCATGATGATTTTCACAATGATCATTTATTATTTAACTGTATTCTGAGGCAATACATATTTAATTGTGTCATTAACCGCCTTCCTGACAAAGGTCCTGACTATGATTGAAGATTGACAGTAGACCGAACAAGTACATTTTTATGTACGTGTACTTCCCTTGTGTATTTCTGGTCATTCAGGAGTAATAATCACACATTGAGGGAACTCCTTGAACTTGCAGGAGCACTATTTTCACAATAGACACACAACAAAAGATACCTATCATGTAACTATAGTAATGTTTGCTAAAACAACTACCAACATACCAGGATTTAAAACTCATTCTGATTTTATATGCTTTGACAAGTTACATGTATTTTCGTTTATATTTTAACATAGTTTGCTGTGGTTAACCTTTTGCCCATGTCAAAGTGTGGCTTAAAACCAGATGTAACACAAGAGAGCAGAAGCTGAGTTTATCACAAGTTGAACATTTAGAAAACAAAACTATGCATGAGTCAATGTATGACTTTGTCCACCTTTGATCAGAGGCAATGCTTCATCTAGCATGGGTACAACTTTTTTATCCAAATTCATACAGAGTAATCATTAAGAATCACACTGTGCACCACTGTGAATCAAATATCTTGTACAACAAAGGAACAAAGAAGTTTTTACAATCATACACAAATGCTTGGTCTGGAACAGAAAATGTAGGAAATAAGTGCTACATTTACATAGCAGCAATATAAAATTGTCAACATTTGTTGTTTACGGCACTCTGTGAACATGAAAGACACTCATTGGACATAACAGTGCCAATATGCACTTATAATAATCAACAATTATTAGACACATATTTTACTGTGTGGAATGAACTATGTACTCTTTAGACTGCATCACAAAGTTCTGAGGTACAACCTAGTCCAATTCATTGAAAATGTACATTCAAGCACATGTGGCTGATATTTCTATTTCATACACTGACAGTCAATCACTACATTTCTGGAGTAAGACAGCTTTTACAAACCAATTGCACTTTTCATTACATGTCACTCAACACTGCTCACAAGATAATGGCACAAGCTGTGCTGTGACCAGAACAACTTTTATCAGTACATGTACTAACTTTAATTTGATTACACTGCAATCATGATCATACATCTATTGCTTCAAGCTTGATTTATCTTAACCTTATCATCTATTGTATAATTTATTTTCATATTTCACTTCAGAAATACCGATATGACATTTGTTTGGCTACAGATCTTCCTTGCTCACTTCTTTGAAGTTGTTAAAACTCATTCAAAATTGATTTAGGCTATAGCAGATCATGACTGTTTTTGCTACCTTGCTGACACTGTTTAGACATGTGTTCCACCTGGCTACATGACAGAACATGCCTCTCCATCCTTGCCACCTGGAAGTTTAGGAACACCATGTTCATCAAACTCAATCCCAGGCGCCATCTCTCCTACCAACTCCTTTGGTGGCTGGCCTAAATCTTGCATCTTCTGCATCAAGTCCAACGTCTTCTCAAACCTCTTGGCCTTGACCTCTTCAGCGTCCGTCTCTGCCTCCGCCTCGAACTCGCCACAGATCTGCTTCATGAGTTCAAACTGCCGGGAGTATTTCTGGTTCTCTTCCTGGGACAGTTTGGACTTGTTCTGTTCCAGCCAGTCCGGGTATTTCTGACAGATGTCCTTCAGGGAGGGGTACAACACTTCCTTAGAGAGGAGGTTTTTCATCATGGTTTGCATCATGGGAAGGAGGTCAGTGGCCCCGGCACCTTCCGTTGCCCCCTCTGATCCCAGCCCGAGGTCGGCCATGGCCTTGAGCAGGTCATCCTCCGTGAGAGGGTTGTTCTGAAGCTCTTCTGCATTCTGTGCCATGCTCTGGAGGGTCTGGGACAGAGAGCTGGCCAGCTCGGTGGTCCCACCTTCTGGACTGACATCTGGTCCCTGTCAGAATGATGACAATTACACACAAGTTGTACATTGTCCCTTATGGCTTCTTTTTCATACTGCATATCATCATTTCCTTAAGAAGGTGTTAAATCATCACAAATTACCTGATAATCTTCATAATCAGATGATATCAATAACGTGCACCTTGCCAGTTTACTGTGTAAATGCAAATGTGCCCATAATAATTTGATTTTTAAAAATCACTATTCAACTAGATGCTGTCATACTTATTACCTGGCCAGTCCAATTATTTTCCATGGCCACTAGGTATATGCGAACAAGCCTCAAGCTAGACCATATTTCTATTATCCACTTCTTATTCACCACGTATGATGTTGCGCCAAAGGTCACGCCCATAGTTGTAAAACACACCTGTTCTATATCGGAAGCCTTTGCCGCAGCCTCGGCCAACCTGGAAAACTGAGCCATCAGCTGTGGATTTTCTTCTTCCAGAGTCTTCATGGCTTTCTCGAACTCATCTGCGATCTGACCGGCCAGCTCCTGTTCAAAAACCTCGCTGAAAAGTGCTTCCTCTTCAGTAGGGAACGAGTCGCCTCCCGACTGGGGCTCACCCGCCCCTCCTCCCGCGGGTTTGCCGCCGTCAGCGCCCGCTGCCGGTCCTTCCGCGGCCTTCCCCGCATCCTGGGTTCTAGCCTTGTCAAAATCTGATAGAGCACTATCCAGCAGATCGTCTAATTCTGGGTCGGGAACGGGATTTTCCGCAGGTTGCGAAGCAGAGGCACCATTTTCCGCCATCTTGGAACACAGATGCGGGTCAAAGTTCAAGTATGAGTGGGACTGTTCCAATATTCTAAGGGGCATATATATTCTGAGGGGTGAGCAGGTAGAAAAGGTTAAGAGCACCTGTTTTTTTTTTCACCTACAAGAAACCAAATGGGTTGCAATAATGTTTTCTTTTTCTGTTGACATATTGTTTCAGAATCGAAAATGCTGTGCAGACTGCTGGCACGAAGGTGGAAGGTACTGTTCGCCGGATGCCTGTTGCTGATTGTCAGCGAATTCCTGCGCTCCGGACAGGACAAAAATCCGCTCAAACATATAAAACTAGAATTGAACTTCCCAATCATTGGGTATGACAACGCATGGAGTTTTTTTTTTACATTTACCACTCGCATCGCCAATGTGTAAACTAAATCATCGTTTTTTTTCGGTATATGTATTATTGATTCAAGTAATTGATCGAAAATATTACCTTTACGATTAACGTTACACCCATCTTACCAGGAGAGCAAGATTAATGAATACATGAACATGTTTTTACAGTAACTAATATCTTCTGAATGAGTTTGGCTTGTGTAAGGCCTTTTCCGTTTTGCATACTGTTATCCTTTTTATTGTGGAATCCAAGCTTCGTACTTTATATCATCAGCCGTCCTTTTCTGACGCTAGTATGATTAGTTGTTACTTGGAAATGTACTGTAATGACCGATTTGTCATCATAATTGATTACAGCATGATAGCAGACAGGAACGCTAACGGTCCTCAACTGGCGCCAAATGGCGGTGACGTCACCGTGGACCAGGTCTGCGTCCCGGCCGTGACGTCACAGATTGGTCCACTTTTCCACGTGACCAACAGCAGTGACTCCAAGTTCTCCTTCAGACGAAATCCCAGATGGAGCAAGTCTGTAGGTGTTTTTGAAAAGAAAAGCTTCCAACATTTCTAATGAGGAAATCAATCATAATACGCGTATTTCCTATTGGTCGTTGGTTACTAGTATCCGTTTTGATATGTTATATAACTAGAAAGGTAATGTTTGCAGGCAAATGCATAATATTAATGTTTACCTTTGCTTATGGTCTGCTCTGTTAATTCTTACTCAAACACATTTATAAATATAGTCAGACAGGAGTCTAAATCCCTCCTGCTATAAAATTGCAACATGATGTAACCCAACACTAGTTACTATGGTAACAGACACGACATTGGTTCAGGTCATTGAGGTCACTGTTTGGAAAAGAAGATGAGGAAAAAACTGAGCAAAAACAATATGTTTTCCTTCGGTAAACATAATCATGTATGTAACCTGTATGTGTAATAAATTGGCTGCCTTATGTCTTGCCTAGTAGCAGAGCTCGTTGTTACAGAGTTACAAAATTAATGTTATAGTTAATCCCTTTTGATACGGACTTACAGACGTGCACTGAAAGTTTGCAGAGGACAGCCTTTGAGTCGACAGAGTTTGCCCCGATCTTTCGGCCAGACATACAGATGCTGATCAACTGCAACTTGTTTGATGTAAGAGAATACCGGCGGATGCAGAAGTGGGAAATACCATTTGGATACCACTACTACATGGGAAACATTACTTATGAGGGTAGGAAAATTATACTATTCAACCAGAACTGACATCTTTTGGTAGTTCATCACATGCATTTAAAAGGCATATATTTCTGTGTCAACTTCTGCTTTTTGCAGAGGTCCGAGATGTTCTGAACCTGTTTCCATCGGACAATACCATCTTCAACTTTAGGGGGAGGAGCAGGTCTCAGTGTATAACCTGTGCTGTGGTTGGCAACGGTGGGATGTTGAACGGTTCCAGGATGGGCATGGAAATTGACAAGCATAACTACGTTTTCAGGTAAATCTATGATTAATTTTCAATAGTTTTCAAATAGAGGAATGTCTTTTGTCACTGCCCCTGATTCTCAGATTTTATTCTGCAAAGTTTACTAAACAATAGTTTAATGATAATAGCAATGGATTTCCCGTTTAAAGGTTTATTTGTAAAATTAACACATAATGCTGTTAGTAAATAATAATGTTCCTTTTAATACACAGGGTGAATGAAGCCTATACGAAAGGCTATGAGGAAGACGTAGGCAGTAGGACAACACACTACGTGTTCTTCGACCGCTCCCTCCGTTACATGAAGCCAGAGGACTACCCTGTTAGCCCGGTTAGTCTTCTTTGTTGTTTGGCAGCCCGTTGAACACCAACGTGTAGATGACTCTGCCGCACTAAATTTCTGTAGCTATAGTTATCAAACATGCAGACGTAAATTCTGCCGTTGTTGTGATACAGAAAATAGCTGTTATATTCTACCGTGATTGTACATTCCAATATTTGTTTCTTACAGAACATCACGTACATCTATGTGCCGTGCAGAAAAGAGGACTTCTCAAACCTGACCGCCATAGGAAAACGTGTGGGCGAGTTCAAAGTACCACCCGAACACGTTCGAATCATCCATCCCGACTTCATGCGATACATTCACTTTGTGTAAGGCAGTTGTGATTCTCTCAAAACAGCTTCATTAGTACGAAACGCGCTAATCAATCTATGATAATGAGTTTTATTGCCCTCTGCTGGGTTGGAGGGGGGGTCGGCAATGTTCGGAAGTCTACATGTATATTCGGCTATGTGTGGCAGGGGCTTTACTAATAACAGATCTAGACTGACGAGGAAGTACATATCTTCTCAATACTGCGAGTAATATGATTGTACCCCTAGTTTGTGTGACGCAACCTTTGCCTTCATATAATGTAGCCAGGGCCATCAGAGCGAGACCATATAGGCCGCGATCATAATGCTAGATAATCTGTATCTGTATCTGTATAGCCGGTATAACCGCCTTTCGGCGTAACACACCAGCTAACACACTCATAATGCTAGATGAGCCTACTCAGAATGGCTGTCCTACCCTACAGGTGGATGAGAGTGAAGTCGTTTCGCCCCACCACCGGCGCCGTCATGGCCATGACAGCCCTCCACGCCTGCGACAAACTCAGCCTGTACGGACTGGGCTACAACAACAAGTACAGCAACCACTACTTCGATCGGAAGTACAAGAAGTTCAGAGTTTTTCGACTAAGTCATGATCACGAGCGGGAGATCAGACTGTGGGACAGTCTGGACAAGGAAGGCCTCGTGCACTGGTACAGACGAGACGTGTTCTGAGGGCGTCTTGTCTCAGATACAGTTCAGTACCAAGGACAAGACCAGAAAAGTGGACAGATGCAAAAAAAAAAAAATAGCAAAACGTATATAAGGATTGACTCCATGCAACCAGAAAGGCATCACTGAAAATAATAGACCATACTTAAAACTGAGAAACTATAGGATGTCAATTATTCCCTGTTTTTAATGACCTGTACTTAGCTTGTAAGACCATAAACGTACAATAAAGGTCTTTCATTCATTCATTATAATACAACAGGCTACTTCAGGAGCTTAAGAATGAAAGACGGTGGCTGGTATATCAACTTAAATATTTTGTACATCTCATGTTCTTTCAAGTTCCATGTGAAATAAAAGTTACACAACTGGTTTCAAACTCTTTTATTTGGTATCAATTGTTGACAAGATATAGGAACGACTAGGGAGGAGTAGAAACACGAAGTCTCCCGGCTCCCGGCCGGAATCGAACCCGGGCCATAAGCTCGTGAATCGGACGCACTAGCCGCTAGGCTAAAAGGTCCGGACTTGAACAGTAGATTAATTATTATGCAACGATCCTTATTTGCATAATATACATATGAATATAATGATGTCAAGAAGTGTTCCGGCATAACAAAAATCACCACGATTCGTCAATCCCTACAAGTGATATTAATGACACATTTCTATGAAAAAAGACTTGTTGGGCGGCGTATACTCTGGGCTTTTTTTGTTAGTCTATCGCAGACTTGTTACAAGTACTACAGATGTGTATTAGGCTCGCCTAAGAGGCGTCGCCAAAAAGACCCCAGAGTCTAGAGATGCTCTCGCGCAACATCACGAGACATCCAATGAACGCAAGTTTGGAGAACGCAAAATTAATGGTGAAGAGACGGGCTTACGTTGCCAATAATTTCAGATGACAGTCTTAGGATCTAAATTTTCGAAAAATGAACTGAACAGCAAGGGTGTATTCAGGGTGTAATCCAGGGTGTGACATGTTTCATGGGCTCTGATTGGTTACTCGACATGACGTCAGGATGTAAGGCAAAGTTCATTAGGGGTCATCACAACAACACGAGGAAGGGGGGCACGCACGTACCTGACCTGATTTCTCAAAGTCCGGGTTATTTTTGGCAAAATAAGAAACAGTTATCAAGGTAAGTCATGAATTTATGCTGTAGTAAACACCGAAAACTGATCTATTCAGCGCCGGGCAACAGATGTGCATGAGAATTCCTTGTGAGCTACTTTGTAAATAATCGCTGTGGCGTGGCGTATGCAGAGCTTTTTCAGTTGGGGTCGTGGCGGTGCCGAGTTTGTAACTCCCATCGTAGCCCCTGCATAAGTTGGCCCCGATTTTTTTCTTACGGTGGTTTTCTGGCATCTACCAGGGAGGTAGTTTGAACCTCCTTGCGTCTACCAACTCCAAGACATCGAGCAGCTGCGCTTGCATCCAGTGACAAAATGGTGGCTTTACGGCTATTTCTTCTACAGATTTGTTACAGATTTGCTGTATCAAAATCTTCTGATATTGATTTCACTTGCGTCCCTGGGCAGCGCCATGTTGTCCTCTGTATTTTGATGTCATGTAACACACTGAACATTTATGGGTAGATGACGTTGACCAATCAGAAGTCTCCATTTTATACTGGTTATGACGACATAACCTTACCAATGGTGTTGAATGCCATAAACACTTCGACCAATCAGCATTGCTCTCACTCGGCAGTTCAATCAGTGTTTATATGAAATGATCAGCCTTATGACACCATACACACACCTTTGGGTAGGACATTAACCCTTAGTTATTGCCATAATGAAGATGTGAAACTCAGAGATCTAGCAATGATCAGTCAACTGCTGCCACCTAGAGAAGGAGGGAAAACTGGTCTAAGGCAGTTCTTAAGGTATGTGTCCTCAATGGGTCACCAGGTTGTCTTATTCTATTGAAAGGGGGTTGGGTGGGTGGGTGTCTTTCAAATTGCATTCTATTCCCTCCCTACATGTCCTACCCATAAAAGTTATGATTCTCCTTATTGACCAAGGATTTCTTTTCTTGTCAGAATTGCCACAGGAGAACCTGCTAACACGGTAACAAGAGCACGTGGTGCACGTGTGGGATACACAGCTGGTACCACAGCTGCAGCATGTGGGCTGTACACCTGGAGCAGCTGGCCAAGGGTACCACATTCCTGACTCAACATCATCACACCTGGCTTCGACATGGCAGCTTGGCTCTGCGCATGTTATGTGGCGTCAGTCGCAACAGTAGCACGGACTGCTCAGTTCTGGCCATACGGAGGGAGGATGGCGGGCAGTGGGAACGGCGGGCACCACTTAGCCCCGCCCATGTGAAAAAACTGGTCCGCAAAGGAGTCAAGGTTCTGGTCCAGCCGTCCAATAGGAGGGCATATCCCATGCAGGTCCGTCATTACTGAGAAATGCTTCAGCTGTAACATTAAATTAGCAGAGATAAAGGCTAATTCACTTTAAAGTAATTTGTGTGCTGCCATTTCTACCTGTAACGTTTGCTATATTGTTTCTGACAGGAGTATGAGAAAGCCGGTGCAGTGATCAGAGAGGACTTGTCTGAAGCTTGTTTGATCATGGGGGTGAAGCAGGTTCCCATCAGTGGACTACTGCCAGAGAAAACATACGCCTTCTTCTCCCACACTATCAAGGCTCAGGAGGCCAACATGGCCATGTTAGATACCATCTTGGATAGGGTAAGACACTTCCTAATGTTGGCTGAACATATGTTGGCTTTTTTTAGATTTTGAGACTGTTTGAAATTTTGTAACGAAAATATACATGTACTAGTATAAATGAATGTGATGGATGAGTAGTGCCGTGGGAAAGTTATAGACTGTCCCATAAATGTCATATCTACTAGTATTCTGTTTGATGTAGGGTTTTCCTGATGAGTATCTTTGATTTGTGATTACAATACTATTGTCTGCTAATGAAATTGTTTTTATTGTTTCCGCAGTCATATGTCTGTTCTGTATAATAAAAGTTTCTATGAAGGCTTTTCCATTTCAAAATCTCAGAACAGATCAGTAGTGCAGAATCTTTCACTTCCCTTGGGTATCAGTTACAAACTCCCATGTATTGTGTTGTAAACTGCATTTCCTAAATTTTTCTTTTACATCCCCCCTCCAACCTTTTTACATGGAACAGCCCTAGTGATGTGTATATTGCAGTAATAACAAACAGTGTATCGATCCTGACGTGTAGAAACAAGACTGATTTTTGTGACCTTTCTTCGTTCTTTTCATCAGAACATTCGACTAATAGATTATGAGAAGATGGAGGATGCTCGGGGCAGGCGGGTTGTGGCTTTTGGCAAGTTTGCAGGGGTTTCAGGTAAATTTAGATGAAATAATTCTGTCTGCATTTATCTACATTAGGGCTATAATGAAAGGGGAGTCAGGCCTCGAAATTAACTTTTTTCACTATTGTCCCAGAATTGTCCCGAACATAGATTTAAATTGTCCAGAACTGAAGATGGACTGTCCCAGCCTGCTTTTCAGGAAATAAGTTGATGACAAAAATAAGAAAACAACAACTGAATTTGTACAACTTGAAGTCCACTTTATTAGTAAATGTACGGAAATACATGATAATATCATGGGCATGGCACCGTCCCTGATATTTGGAATCCCTGATTGGTCAAATTTAAATGTTTGTCAGAGTATTATATATTTATAGGCTGCCAGCAGTCTGCAGCAGAATGGATGGATTGCGTTCCCAAATGACGTGGATGGTCTTAGAATTTTCCAATTGCCCAAAATTGTCCCGAAACGTAATTTGAATTGTCCCAAGCTGAAAATTTAGTGTCATTTGACACTGGGACAATGTTAATTTCGAGCCCTGGGAGTAAAAATGTTTTCGCTCGATAATGCATGGGTACGGAACAATACATGGGAAGGTTGTGACTGAAATAAAAGGAGGGAAAGGGTGAAGAAAATGGTCCTACTAGTAGTCACTCCGTCCTGAGATTTTGAGAAGGAAGAGTCCGTCTGTATTTTTCTCTCATTAGAAAATCCGGCTGATAGATTATGAGAAGATGACAGACAAGCAGGGCAAAAGGGTAGTGAAATTTGGCAGGTTTTCAGGCGCTCCAGGTAACTAACAACTTTAGACATAAACTACAATGTTGTTGTAAGAAAGAGTGTAAATTTTGATAGTCTTACTCTTAGCATGACAAGTACAGTATCATAATACATTGGTACCACTACAGTAGTCATACTAGTATCATTCTAAAAGATACATGTACATTCTGTCTGATTTCCTGACTAATTTGACAATGGGTCTGCACTTTTGTGTCATATCTCTGTCCATACATTTTAGCAATTACTACTGTTTTGAAGTGACGTTTGTTTTGCACTCCATGTTTTGAGTCCACTGTGCATCCTGGAGTGAAACTGACAACTTGTGTTTTCCTCACCCCAGGAATGATTAACATCCTCCATGGCATGGGGCTTCGCTTCCTGGCACTGGGACATCACACTCCCTTCATGGTAAGTAAACAGAGATGGCAGACTTCACCCCCTTACTCATACAGTACATCTTTAAAGTATAACAACTTTCAGTTCCACATACAAAATAGCACCACTGAGTAGTTACTGAGTAGTTGTACATGCACAGCAATGCTATTGTTGAATCTGTTTCCTTCCTGTCCTACCCAGCATGTAGCTCAGAGTCACAACTATCGGAACAGTGAGATGGCACGCCAGGCTGTCCGGGACTGCGGGTACGAGATCGCGCTGGGCCTGATGCCACAGTCTATTGGCCCGCTGACGTTCGTCTTCACGGGCTCAGGAAACGTGTCACAGGTGGGGATACATGTACATTACTGACAGGGTTTAAAATACTCACACTCTCACTGGATAAGTCATGTTTTCTGTGCGATACTTATTGGAGATGCTACGTTGCCCGGTGTGCAAGTTTTGCCTTGGCCAGCAATTTACACATTGTATGCAATACCTTTATACTGGCTTGCAGCTTGCCTTCTAAAATAAACACCCAGCAACCCGAAGTATTGATGGCCAACCAAGCCCTTTTGTTGCAACCTGAGAAAAAAAGGATTTCAAAGCCTGTTTCAAAGTAGGTTTGTTCCAACAAAAGGAACCGCTCTGATACATACATGTAGTTTGTGTTAACTTTAATGCACAGTTAGGACCACACTCTTCTGTTTCAGGGGGCACAAGAAATCTTCAATGAACTTCCCCATGAGTATATCCACCCCAAGGATCTAAAGGACGTATGTGAAACAGGAGGTAAGTTTGACATTTCTTGGTCTATATGGCATTCCTTACACATTTGATTTTCAGATAGAAATGAGGGCTCAATCTTGTAGAGAGAAGCATACCATACAGGTTGCTGTGGCCAGTTGACGAATATCTATCACTCCATTATCACAGCATGACAGGTTTACTGGTTATGCTAATCAAACTAAACCACACAAAGCATCAGTGGGATTTACAATGCATGTCATTGACTGGAATACTGTTGTTCTTACAGACACCAGTCGATGTTACGCTACAGTGCTGAGTCGAAATCACCACCTGAGGAACAAAGACACTGGTGTATTCTCTGCAGAGGAGTATGACAAACACCCAGAGAGATATATCTCTACCTTTGCACATGAGGTACTGTGATCATAGTATAATTGATAAGCATGCAGCACCAATTTTTTCTTTTAGTCTTTTGTTTTATGCTGTTACACATATTGTTATCCAGTGTTCCTAAATCCAACTGGTTTCAACCATGTTCACATTATCCATAAGTTCTTTCTTTGATGTCCTGGTGACTGTTTCTGCACTGTGATTAGAACAATACCCTCTTTAATATTACTTTAATTTTTGGTATTGATATTTGCCTTTTACATTGTACCTCCCAACTGAAGTCAGGCATCCATTTTTACACCTGGGTGATGTGAGGAAAGGGGCACAAGATCAATGACATGGCAGGATTCAACCGAGGACCTCTGGGTTCTTGGTGAAACACCTGCCCTTACGCCAACCTTGTTAATGACAGAGTTCCTTTCCCCTGTAGTACGCCCCGTACGTCTCCTGTCTGGTGAATGGGATCTACTGGCCTCCCAACGCGCCACGTCTCCTGACCTTCTCCGACCTCCAGCACCTCCTGAGTCCCGACATGGCACCCAAACAGGTTCCAGAGGGTCCAGGCATGCCCCGCCTGCCTCACCGGCTGGTGGCAGTGTGCGACATCTCCGCTGATCCCGGCGGTTCGCTGGAGTTTATGACGGAGTGCACCAGTATCGATGTTCCCTTCATTCTGTATGACGCTGAACATCATATCCTCAGACCACGGACATCAAGGTACATGTATATGCATGTTATCTCTCTCAATCTCTCTCTCCCTCCCTCTGTGTATGATTTTAGATTAGAATCTATAGACCTGGTTCAGTATTTTTCTTCTCTGTGCAACCTACATGTACACGATACATGTAATGTTCATTGTACACGAAACCGAACTACCGGTATGATCACTGTACCTCTTTTTTGTGCTACATACATGCCTTGTTGGCCATTTCCGCTATGTTATTAACCATTCCATTGCTACTTATAGTTTGTTTTCTGATACTCCACATCTGTTTTGGCTGCAGTTAGTGTCAGATATATGCACTTCTTTGCATTAAATTTTACGTCATTCTGCACTCTTTTTCATCAGTGCATTTTCTTTAAACCATTGTTTGTACATTTTATTTTGTTATCATGTGGGCAACGAACAAAGAAGTCTAACCGTTTGTGTGCTGTTCCTCTTCCCGTAGTCTGATTACCCCCTACGGTAGCTCAGTCACGCTGGCTGACCAGGACTCAAGCGAGTATTTGAGCCGCAGGCAAGCACCATTCTAGCTTTATCGCCTTCTTCTGCTGTTTGTTTGTTCGTTTTATTAGAATTTTCATTAGTATCTCTATTAAATCACCAGACAGTTCAGTAGTATTGGGACCATCGCACACTGGGGCATGCCTCTTTGTTGAAAGGTGTGGTGGTGGTGGATTCTTAAATGTTTGTGTAGTGTAGTGCTCTCCAAACACGGGACCTCCATTTGTAGTCCTTTCTGAGGGACATCCTTAACCAAAGCTGGGTACTCATTTCCACAGATAGAAGTGAGGAAAATAGTGTCAAGTGCCTTTCCTAAGGGCACAACATTGTTGCATGTTGGTGGATTTGAACCCAAGACCTACGGGTTCTTGGCCAAACAGCCAACCATTATGCCACACAATCCCATGATTTCATGTTGTACTGTGAGTCTTACTGTCACCCCTAGATCAGGGCCAAGACTCAATCCAGCCTCTGTCCTTTTGTTCCTGCACAGACTTTTGTATCTAGGGGCAGTCAAGATTTCAACCATTCTGTACCTCTTGATGATGGATATTCCAAGATCAGGATGTACCAGAGTGTTTTGCACTTCGGCTCATATTTTTCAAATTCCCATAATTTTCCACTTTCAGCCCCCAGCAAATTGTACTACAAGTGATACCATGCTTTTTAAAAATTTTTGGATAATGATGAGTGGTTATATTGGTAACGAATGCATTGTTGATATGGTGATGGTTGATCCATAAAATGTTGTTGTTGTTGTACGTATGTAGTGAAGGTTCTCTTTTTTTCAGTTTTGCCGGTGACGGTGTTCTGGTGTGTTCCATCGACAACTTCCCTGCCCAGCTCCCCCGTGAGGCTACTGACTATTTTGGAAACCTCCTTATTCCATATGTCTGGCAGATGGTGAGCATTTGTGGAGCTTTGTGTATATTAATACCTTAAAGGTAGCGGTATAGGTAACAGTGGTTGTTGATACTCTTTGTGTTGGAATAATGTTTACCATCATAATATGGTTACAAACCTTACTTTACACACATATATTTAATAATCTAAATAAATACTAAACTTCTCGAATATGTTTGTCTCAGTGAGGAAGGTTCAGAATCAAGAATTCAAGTGGAGTGACTCCATTGTGAAATCTCAACAGGGCTAGTTGGAACCAATTCAAAAATGAATATTAACCCCTTTAAGTTTAAATTCATTTATGGGTGAAACCAGTTGTGTTTTCTTTATTTCTTTATGGACCAACCAGACATATAGTTTCATGCTTTGCTTGTGTACTACCAATTGGATGTCTAGTTAGATGTTACAAGCAATCTGAGACCAATTTTTTTTCTCTTTCAGCTGAAGTCCAGGGCTGAGGCTCCATTCGAAGAACAAGAACATCTCTTCTCTCCCACCGTTGGTGGTGTAAGTCTACAGTCTGTCATTTTCTGTGGAAAGTCAGAATACTGATGACTCAGGCCATAACTAGTGCAAACGTAATATGAGAGCCCCCTTCAGCAGGATGAGTTTGGATCATGGAACACTGTGTCTTTGCTTCCCTGCTTTCACATCCATACTCTATGATGATGGTCATAACACGTTTACTACCTTGGCTTGACACCATCTTCCAAGCTTTCTTTATCTACATCTTCTCATCTCATTACTTCTCATCTTGCAGCGAGGCATGACTGCTGTAAACTTGCACTGTACATCTAACAATGTTGTTTCTCTATATAGGCTGTGATTGCATCAAATGGCAGACTTACTCCAAGATTTGAGTACATCGCCGAGCTTCGAGCACAAAAGGAGAAAAAACAGTAAGTACAACTAACATTATCTGCTTATGTTCCCCATACTAGTAATTTGTGAGCTCATGCAACCATGCAACTTCATTTTCCAACCCTCCCTTTTCTTTTACAATCCTCCACCAGTACCAAATGTTTATATTAGTCCATAAAAATCTGTTGTTTGAAAGACTATCTGTACATAATTTTTTGAATTGGTAATTTTGTCTAACATAGTCCTTTCTCCCTTTTGTTTCAGAACAGAAGCATGAAGACATCAGAATGCTGCATATTTTCTGTCAAGTCTAGAGATGTTATTTTTTCTTAAGGGTGTTGGATGAGATGCAGAAAGCAATGCAAACTTTTATTGATTTTAGTAGAGGCATCAGAAGAATATACTTTGTAGGGAAAAGTGCACCTACAATGTATATATAGGTTATCATAAAACAATAGTCCTGTATTCCTGTCAGATATTTTTGTCAATGAAGCAGTTTGGGAACTTGGAGAGCACGAATGTGAACAGTACCAGTATTGATATTTAGTCAGATAAACAAATTAAATGTAAAAATAAAAGGCTATTCCGGGAAAGTAGGAAGGTCTGACATGTCCTCTTCTTTACTAGATTGATACATGTATAACATGATTGTTTCCTCTTTATATTTGAAGAATTTACAATTGGATTCTCCTTTTATTAGAAGAGAAATATTTCACTTTGAATTGTGTCTCAGCTTCATAACTGTTCTTCTCTAAAATACTTCCCGCATGTTGTCAACAACTACCCAGAACACAGAAGGACTAATAGAGAATGAGGCCACATCAAGTTTTAAATAAAAGCACAAGGCTTTGTTCTGGAATGTCAAACATCATTCTTAATTGTTGATTCGAGTGCTACTTTGTATTGCCATGTAACATGTAATTAGAATAGTCTGGTATCATCTTTATATCAATGAAATTATTTTCGGGAATAGACAATGAAGGGGTAAATTCAGAATGTTTCAAAGTATAACCTGTTGTTCTCAAATTAATGCACACATGAACAGAATAAACCTTACCTGAGGGAAATACCAAGAATTCAGTAAAAAGACAATAAAAGTGGCAGAAAAGGGACAAAGACTGCTGGCTCTGTACCACTGGTATACACATGTAGAAATGAGTACAGCTTAATATGTCCTAGATTTCGAATTGTTAAATATATATACAGTTATAATAAAGATAATAAACTTGACAAAGAAATAACCCGTCTTTATTTTCAACACTGAACCTATCATAAATACATTGTTGACAGTAACTTGATAATATTAAAAATAGAACAAAGCAGCATGCTACAGTGCAGTAGTGAAATATTACAGGGAACTATCATTGTCTGACAAATTCTACACTTGTCTTCCAGATGTTGATACGATTGTGACCATGACACTGCTGTCTGGTAGCCTGGGTGCCATCCTCCGTAGTTTCTGCCGGCTCCTAAGGCCACCAAGGAGGCTAGCGACATTAGGAGCTGTCGGAAAATACGGAGGATGGCACCCAAGCTAGCTGTCTGGTACAGGTTTAAACCATTCAAATACAATTTTATTACACCATAAATTGAACCATTTCACATTTGGCAAGAAAGATGCAAATGGCAACTCTAAAAATATAACCTTATAAAAACTATTGCACATCCAAACACAGATTTAGAATATTCAGTATTGTATGTTTCACTAACTTCCCAACGAGATTTCTGTAACATTCCCATTACATTGTATATCAAAAACTTCAAACTCTGACTTGCAACGATATTGCCAAAAATAGGCATACATATATATTAATTGTGCAGTTAACTTGAAGAGTCAAAACGGTCTCTAAAACACTGAACCTAAGGTAATATTCCAAACTGTATTCTAAGCATTACTTTCAACAGGAGAAAAACTGGAAATATGCTACAAGCTTGTTAGTCTTCTTTACAGACTTAAATTGTAACAGTTCTGTTGGCAAACCATTTGGACACAATAACAGAAGAAAAAGGTAGTGGATTGCACTTTTGAAGAAGTTATTCTGATGTGAAGTGAGTTCTAAAGGGACTATATATATCACTGCAAGAATGACAGTGCCAAAAATAGTAACAGTGAAGTAATAAAAATAAATTTTAACTATGTATATATACTAATCTAAATCATTTGCTAACCTAGTTTGCAGAAGGTACTGGCTAACTACGCATCATTTGAGTCCCATTTTCCATAAGAATTTCATGGTGAATTAATGTCATTGATGAAGAACATGTAGTTCAGGTCATGGAGCCACCAGTGTTCAGAATGGTGGGCGAGACACATGCCGCAGGGTTATGTATGGTGCCAAGACATCCTCCAGAAAGGTCCAGGCCTCCACTTGATTTCTGGGCTGTCTGTATGATGTGATGATGAAGACAAAGCCAACAACAGCCAGGATGCACACAACTACCCTCAGTACAGCCAACATGGGCAGCTGCTTCTGTCTGGAAGAAATAACTGCAAACTCATCTGCCTGGAAGGATGCAAGATAACAGTCAGTTTGTGATGTCTGGTCTTCGGTACTTTCAATGGTGCTGACACAGGTGTCACGTGTGTTGACTTCATCAGTCTGCATTGCTACCTCTACTTCCTCCACGTCTTCCGTTTGAGTTGTTTCAGCCACAAGTGTCATGGAGTCAGTTTGAGCCTCCGCATACTTTCTGGTTGGTTGTTCTGTCTGTGTCTGGCTGTCCAATGTGATTATCAATGATGGCAAAGTTTGGGCTTCATTTTGTACAAGTTCCTTCCCTGATGTGGTACTCTTGGTAGGTACATCAGCCTGGAGATGAGAGTTTGGAGATCGAGGTAAGTCTGTCTGGGTGCCAACTGTGGAAGCCATCTTGTCAAACAGAGATGAGGTAACGGCCAGGTCCAGACATGAGGTGCTGAGATGCCTGCTGCGAAGGGCAGGGGATACAGGAGGCCACTCTGAGAACAGCTTACATGGTCTCAGCTTCAGGAGGCTTTCAGGTTCCCTCACTGGAGTGGTCTTTCTTGTTGACCCTTCTGGAGTCGTCATCTCCAAAGTGTTGTTTGTTCCTTCTCCGTCACCTGGCTGCTTCTTATCCTCCAGCTGCATCTGCAGCGTCCGTAGACAGTCCTCTGCCTCCTGTGCCTTCCTCTCCACGTCCTCTAGTGATGCTGCTACACGGGACCTGGCATCCATCTCTAGCCTTAAGGCTGCTGCCAAAGTGTGCACTTCATTGTTGGACTCTGTCAGCTGATCTTCTAGGGAAGACACCTGCTTCTGCAGATCATACACCTGACGTACAATAGAACAGGTTAGAGCTACACAAAGGCAATAGTGTCATGTAATATCAAATGTCTCCTACATGTAATGCACAAGAAATCTTTTAGAATGTTGGTAGTTTGCCACCTTATAATGACATGGACTGACCTGTGCTGTTCTACCCTGTATCGCAGCAACCAGCTCCAGCATCTGGTGGTCCTTCTTCTGGCCAACAACCTGCACAGTGGGAACAACATCAACAGGGTGCGGTCTGATTCCCTCTCTACCATACTATACACAATGAGATGTAGTTTTCTCTCAATCAACTAACACAAGTCATTCCAGCTTTAGAAGTACACTGTATCATCAGGGGGCAAATCAAATAGAGTAAACATGTTCCAATTTGTCCTTTTAAAATGCCATATTTGAATGTGACGATAAATTGGATTTCGCTTTGCACCTGGTCCAACACCTGCTGCAGCTGCTGCTGGTGTTCCCTGTCCAGGTCCTCCCTCTCTGTCCGCAGCCGGCTGACTGCACCTGTCAGCTGTCCAACCCTCCTGTCAGCTGCACGTTTGGCCTGGGTCAACCATTCTAGCTTGTCCTGAAGTTAAATGTGCATTGCAAATGTAAAATGTGCAGAAAGCACCTAGCCTATCAAAAATACAATTATTGAAAAGTTCTTTGACAGGTCAACTACATGTACCTGTTGCAATAATATAATACATGATATGGGCCTCTGGCCTGATACAAAGAATAAAAAAAACATGACCACTGACCTGGAATGAGTGCATCTCATCACATAATTCTGAAGGATGCCTTGTCTTCTGCTGCAATGATGCTCCTTCCTTGTTATTATTCCTGTGGTGATTAAAATCAATGCTAGTGCTTAATAAATTGAATTCATTTGAAGTGAAGGTAAAGTATACAAAATGAAAGATGGCATGGATAGCTGGAAGAACATGATCATAACCTCAACTACTGATACTATACATATTCATTATGTATTATTGAGTACCTTTGTATGTGATTTGTGAACTGGCTAACCAACTGTGCTGCAATCAGCTTGAAATGCTCAAGTGAGAATGTAGACATGCTCCCACCAGTTGACGAACCTTCATGACAAAGAAAAGAAATTGCTTCTAATAACATTTGCATTGTTTCAAAGTACCAATCTTAGCGCTCATATAATGTTACATGTGAAATAAAATTGATATCATGGAAAAAAATTTCCAGTCAGCTAGAACACTGCTCTGTACCCTGTGGAGTCTCATCTTCTTCACAAGTAGTGTCTTCCTCCTCTTCCTCCTGTACTTTATAGCTGTTGTTGCCACATAGTGGGGAGGGGAGGATTCCTGAGGCGTCCAGCAGTTCTGCATGTAGGGAGTGGTGTAGAGCTGACAGAGGGCTGACTGCCACTCCTGTTGGGTCCAGGTCGTCTGTCTCCAGCTGCATACGTCTCTCAACTCTGTACCTGATATACAACAGAAACATGCAAACTTATAATTAGTCAAATAGTACAAATGAAAAGCACAAGAAATTGTACAGTAACAGTACCTCCCCCCAATAATGATTGGATTCTCATGTCATTTTGACAGATGAGTAGGCATTGCCAAGGTGGTCCTCATATGGGAATGAAGAGCATTTCTGAAGATCATTTCAGTTTTGCTAACGTCAATGTAACTTTGTAAGTTATGTGTAAATGGCCATTGTGAGAGTGACCTTGCGAGATCCTGCTGCACCTGCAGCAGCTGTTCCTCCAGCTGGTGTTTCTCTGCCCTGAGTGCCTGGATGGTGCAGCTGTACTCCTGTACCAGAGCCTCCATCTCCCTCTGCTTCTCCTGGTGCTCCTCCAGCTGGGCCTGCTGGGACAGGGTGGTGGCTTCCAGCTCACCACAGCATTCCTGATGATGAGGACAGATTTCTATCTGCAGATTTCAGTATGTTTCATACACAGGTGTGATCTCTACACTTACCAATAATGACCCTGTTCATTCCTGAATTCACAAAACCCAGGTTCAATGCATTAGCTGCAGTAAACTGGATAAATTTAGCCTGGTGTTATCAACCACTTCTTTAAGGGTCTAGCAATTCATTTATGTCCAAATCAAAGCATGCATGAGTGAGATTACACTGTTGGATACAAGTAGAATTATTTGCCAGATACCTTCTGCAGCCTCAGGCTCATGGCCACATCCTTGTTCTCCTGCTGCAGTGTCTCCACCTCCTGTGCAGCCTTGTTGAGCTGCTCCTGCAAACCCTCCAAATGACCCTGCAGGTTCTGTCCCTCCCTCTCCAGCTGGCCTCGTCTGTGTTCCCCCCTCCGGTTCTCCTTCTCCACCCCAGCCAGCGCACATTTCAGCTCCTCGATCTCGTCCACCAGCTGGTTGTGCCGCGATGTCATCTGCTGCTGCACAGACTTCAGCTGTTTCTTCAGGTTGTCGTTCTCGAGGGAGAGCAGAGTGTTGGTCTCGTCTGCAGAGTCCACCTGCTGTCTCAGCTTCTGGTTCTGCTCGCCAAGCTTCTTACTGCTCTTCTGCAGCTCAACTACACTGGTCATCAACTCTGCTGCATCCAGGTTGAAGGATGCCTCCCCACCACATCCCTCAAGGCTGCTGATTGTTGTATAAGATGCATTTAGCAGGTCATAGTCACTCTGGTCTGCACTGCTTAGTCTGTTGCCTCTTGTTCTCCTATGCATGACGTCATATTTCCTGATTTCTTCGATCCAGTTTCTCATGTGTGTCTGGTAGGTTCCCAGGTCTATCAGGGCATCTTCACCTTTTGGGTCTAAGAGTGACGACAGACCATCCAACTTCTCCATAGACTCATTGGGAGCAACAGGATTTGTTGTTGTGTGGCGGAGGTAATCAATGATCCTGGACACAGGAACTCTTCCAGCTCTTTCAATGTCACAGATATGGAAAACACAATCTACCAGGTCCTCCTCTCCAATGAATTTGCCCACACTGTCTTCTCTATTCTGGTCTTGGATAAGGCAGTTATTCTTTTTAAGATTTCTTGATGTTAAACCTATGTCAAAAGTCTCTGAAATCTCAGACTGCTCCAGGTTTCCATCTTGCTCCTGATGTGGCTCTCGGTTGTTCTTACTATCTGTGATGTTGGTTCCATCTGTTGTCCTTCTGATGCTGTATGTTTGTGGACACATTGGAGTGTAGAAGATGTTCTCTATGGTGTCATCTCCAGATCCTTGCAATTGGATAGGAGTCATTGGACAGCATGACTCCTTAGGCCTGAATGGTGTGGAGCTGTGTTTGGGTTCAGCAGACATCACCATTCCCCCAATACTAAGTCTCCTACTCTGGTCATCCTTAGTTGAGGCTGGGGATGTGAACTGTATCAAGTCTTCGTCCCAGCTTACCTTGGGTTTTATGATTGGTGAGGGAAAATGCTGAAGCTTACATCTGTCTGTCCTGTCCTCCATTATTGCACTTTTGGAAAGCCTGCAACAGATTGTACTGGAATGAAAATCTGTTTCTTCATTTGACTTTGAACACGAATATTACGAGTATGTTCCAAAGTTCTAATGGTTGGATGACATTTTTTAATACAATACAATTCAGTTTGAGCCAGAACCAACCAAGAAGTGCTTGAACCTCGTTGGTGGCGCAATTGCAGGCGGTTATAGTGGAGACAACCTCCTTGGTTTTACCAAGAAAATTTGTCAACGACAGTTGTGTATTTTGTGATCTCAGAAATTCGACGCCGGTCGCACAGGGAAGTTGAAACCAAATTTTGGTCAGAAATTCTTTAGCATTCATGGCAAAGTTATGTGCCTGAATACCAGTCTTCTGTTCGTAACCCATAACTGAGGAAAACATCAACACTAACATGATAAAATCATACAAGAAAGGAGGAAAACTTTACCTTCCCTCACGAAGACGAACTCAGGTTGAGAACTGTCAGACGTCACGAGGAGTTCGTGCGAACCAATCGTCGAATTTGGCGCCAAAACGTCATCATGTCGATGATTCTACTAGTAAAGGGGGTTAAGATATTTAAAACAATATATTTACACACATCATGACATTCAAAGATCTCTCTTACGATAAGTAAAAATGTTTTAACTGTCCAAGTAAACTACATTGATTTCCATGATACTGATTTGAAGGCAAATTCTGAAGATAACGGTAGTAACTTGGAACTCGTAAAATGGAATATTCCAATGACGCAATGTGACCCCCGCATGACCTTACAACATGGCCTCTTGTCGAGCCGGTACGTCGGTGCTCCTCATTGGGAGACGTCTAAATATCTCTCGTGTCTTCCAGAGGAACCTTCGGAGCCCTGATCCTTTCAGGTAAGACATGGAACTATTTTCTTAATTGTAAGCAGTGCCGAAATGGTTTTGGTTTCAAGCAGAAATGGCCAGTTTCCGCCTGGAAAATTACCCAGGGTTAACAGTTACTACATACATACACACATATTTACCCAGGTATTGCGTCATCGTACAAGTTCGCGGTCAATATCAAAATTTATGAATTGAAGAATTTCTCTTAGATTATAAAAGCATTCCAAACCTGGTTTAAAACGATGTTTGTGAACTAAGACATAAACAACTTAAAGTTGTTATTTGCAAGACAAGTTATTGAGCATTGACTTTGAAGTTCATTCATTCATTGATATGCAGTAGACCTATTCTACTACTAGTACTCTAATGATTGTAGGATTGTCAGACATTATATAAGTAGCCTATTGCTATTTTTTATATGGCATATCTGGAAGATTTTATGATTTACACTGTACACATGTATTTGAAATTGAAGTGCAAATGATATGATAATACCAGCAAATGACAAAGTTAGTTTAGATATGTCACCTTCAATCAATCAATCAATCAATCAATACCCTTTATTCATACTGGAAATGCCCTGTCGGCCTTAGCCGCTCTTCCCAGAGGTCCAGTTGAGGGGGGGTGGTCAGGGGAACACAATAAATAAGTAAATAAAATTTAAGTTACCTTCCTCAGCGCAATTCTGACTGGTTCACATTGCACAGCACAGATGCTGATGCTTACACATGCATTCCCAAATGCAAAGCTTTCACATATAATATACAACTGTATATGTACTAGTACAACACAGTTACATGTACAGGGAATGGTATGTACAATATGGTCCCAAACCTACAGGAGTGTGATATATGACATGATTGTTGTCATATATAGTAAGTAGAAAACACAGCTTTAATTACATCTACTTCTTAAGAATGCCATCCTAAATGTGAGGAATTTGGTGACAGATGATCACCAAAATGTCGGCTGAATGAAGCACTTGGTTGCATAAAAAACAAGTCTTTTTATTCAGTGACTTACCAACCTGATGAAACTATTCACGGGTCTCATGTTTGCCATTCATCTAAGTATATTGGTGTGATTTCATTAGACATCACCATGCAATGATATGTTTTCAACCGTATCCAAGTGGTCCTGAATTAGCATTAGACAGTTGATTGTGATGTAAGAATGTGGACTGTTTTTCAGAATACAGAGCAGACTGATGTCCTGTATGGGCCAGCAGCATGTCCTGGTACTGGGGTCGGGTTACGTGTCGGAGCCTGTTGTAGAATATCTCACCAGGGAGAACAACACTCACATTACACTAGGTATGGAAGCTACATTGTTAATGTAACCAGTAATAGATATAAACCTTATTACATGTATTAGTTTATCTGTGCAAATTTAATTTGATGGTTTTCAAATTTTTAAAGATCTAAACTAACAGGAAGAACTTTTGGCAGAGTGGGCAATGGTGTATTGCGCTGACAAAATTAAACAACTTGATACAAGCAAAACAAACACTTCTTTGAGTATGAAACTATGACAAAAATGCACTCAGTAATGGTAATAAATGTGAATATCAGACAGGTTTCTCACTGAAATTGCATTGTATGCCTTTAAACACCGACAGCTGTTCTGCCGCCCACCATGATGCTACTAATGTACCATGAATGCAACAGCTGGTTCAAGATTTATACTATCTTCCAGCAAGTCAATTTTTAATCAGCTATCAATTGTCAAAAATACCAGCTTTGTGGTCACCAATTCTGGCTTTTGTTTTAAAATCTTATTTCTGATACATATTTAGTGTCATCAATAAAAACTGAGGCAGAGACATTGGCTGACAAGTACCAGAACACCCAGGCAGTCATTCTAGATGTTCAGCAGCAGCAAAAGGACTTGGAGCAGCTGGTCAAGGACAACAACCTGGTTATCAGGTACCCATTAATATTGTTACCTTTGTGAAAATGGAGACCTGTGTTAACTTGTTTTGGGTGTTTCTGTTTGTCTATCAACAGTCTGTGTTTATCTGTTTGAGGTATCAAAGTATCCGGAACTTGCATAGCAGGTCTAGATGAAGTTTTAATGTCTTTATTCTCTGTGTTTACTCTAGCCTACTGCCATACACATTACATCCCATTGTTGCTGAGATGTGTATCAGACAGAAGACCAACATGGTCACTGCTAGTTACAAGACCCCTGCCATGGCAGAGCTGCACAACAGGTAAGTGAAGAATAAACAGAACAAAATTATTAAATTTTAAAGTTCAAAGATGCGTCTGCGTGAACAACAGAACTGGTACACTTTAGCTTTGCATCTCTGATTGCTTTTAATGTTCTCTTGGTGCAGGGCTGTTGAGGCTGGTATTACTGTGATGAATGAAGTTGGACTGGACCCTGGAATTGACCACTTCCTGGCCATGGAGTGCTTTGACAGGGTTAAGGCTGAAGGAGGCAAGGTTGGTGAAAAAATTAAATCTATCATCAGCTACAGCTACATTACGTATACAGGCATTATTATGAATTAGAAGCTTTTTGTGGGATTCTGTACATTGTCTTATCTGTAATTTCACCACATCTTTCTCCTCAGATCACATCTTTTGTGTCGTGGGCAGGGGGCTTGCCTGCCCCGGAGTGTGCTGACAACCCCCTGGGGTACAAGTTCAGCTGGAGTCCACGGGGGGTCCTCCTCAACACACTCAGCCAAGCCAAGTATCTACAGGATGGACAGGTACTTCAACTAGGGCTGCACACCTAAACGTAACAAGGGCAGATACCGCCATTAAGTTTTGCCATTAAATACACTGAAACAAGGACTCATAAAAGTACCAGAAAGTCATAGGAGTCTGCCTCCCAAATATACAAAGAAAATGGGTTTGACCAGCTCAAACTTCAGCAACAGAGGACAACAGTAAACAAACCCTACTTTTGACCTCATTTTCTCATGTATCCAGCATGCTTTGGCCATGCAAGATCAAACCACTCAAGTAATGTCCACTAGACTGGTGTAATAAAGAAAACTTGATCAAAGTATACGTAGGGAAGTTTTGACCCTACTTGTACCTGTTCCTTTTATGTTGTAGCTCAAAAGACTCCAATCTGGACTGAAACAATTGTGTTACCACAAAAGTGATGCTGAAGAAGAGCAACCCACTCAAAATGGTTGGAAGTAATCTGGGAAAAATTGACCATTGGTAATTTTTGTTAATTGTCTAGAAAACCCCTGTTTCTTTTGTTTCGGCCCGTAACCTTTGACACGATCACGTGATACGCCATTCGACTTGACGGTACGCGCGGGTGCCGGTCCTGCTTTTGTTTGTCTCTTCATCTGGTGTTTTTGCGAATATGGAGTCTGATCCTGAGAAGAAGAAGAAGAAGAAGAGACGATGTTCCGTGTGTCGGCTACCAGTGAAAGGACACCCGGGACCATACGGCCGCGGCAGGTGCACTTTTGAGCGGCCAGAAGGAACCTCAGATGAAGACTTTTTCGGACGACAGCGGGGTAGTGCTAACGTCCAGGAGAAGATCAGAGGCCTTCGGCGGCACAGTAAAGTTCAGGAGCTAGTGCGTAAGGCCTGGTCGGACAGCCTCTCGGAAGACGCGGAAGAGGAGGTGAGGTTGGCTAGATCATACAACCTAAAGAAATCGTCGGATTACGGCGGAGAGAAAGCCAACGTTCGAGCAAGAAGTGAGCCCCCTCCCCAGGTTTCTCGCCAAAACGCACGTGATCGGAGCAGGGAGTATGCACAAGTGAAAGACCAGCCTGACATACGAGACCTGAGAGAATCTAGGAAATTGGTCAAAGAGGTGGACAAGGCTTTGGACGACTTGTTAAATCCAGTTACAAGCCAGGAGAGGAGGATCAGCGACAAACGCCTTGACGAGAGCGACTTTGATTCAACTTCAACATCATCACA